TATGGCGATAAGTGCGTTGGTGGTGTTGTGCACTATGCGCTGTGGTTAGATTGTACGTGAACGAGAGAAGCGTCTTATCGGGCTATAGGACTTCCCTTGGCTGACTGGTTGCTCCAAAGAGAGAAGCCATCGACAGGTTGAGGACCTCGCTGAGGTAGTCTACTCTTTCCGTGCCCAATTTTCTCGGCACAGCATATATATTCCAATTTTCGGCTAAATCTGTCACCGCACTTCATCGGCTTAAAAGGATATTGCGGCCATGCTATTTAAAGGAAGGTTTATCTGTTGTATACCATAGACCAACCACATGGTCGGTTTTCAAGCCATCAGCATAACCGGGGTTTCGGGCATTCATTGACATAGTTGGTTATTTTTGCGAAAACAACCTCAACGTTATGTGTCAGCCTATACTTCGAAAGACACACATACATATTATATATGCAGGTCGCCACTGTGAAAATGGCACTAAGAGTGGAATGGGGTATAAAAGCTTCGTTTATCAGAAATACTTACTCAGATTTGGTTTGCAGTAATGTAAAAACAATATTTCTAATAATAAACTTTATTTCTCAACTTTACTCTATATAGTTAGTATAATATTTTGTTGCTATACATTCAAGTACATATTTATATATGGATAAATACTTTTTCATAGTACAGTTTTATTTTATATTAAAAAATAAAATTCTTCATTATAAAATTGCTTACAACAAAATTATAAGTACGTAAGTACTTATTTGTATGCATATCGTCAACATGATTACTAAAGGCGCTAAGTGACATTTTATTGGAAGTACTGAACTAGTTTGTAGGTATATATTCCACATTGAAGTAGAAAACGTGGGACTTGCTTTGTTTGGGAATTTTCTGAAGCATTTTATTTATACAAAGATTTAAAAGGTTTAACGCTTCTTTAAAAAGAAAGCAGAAATGTCACTTAAGGTATTTGAAATGATGACGACGATACGTATGGATGAAATAGGAATTAATAACAAAAAACACGCATTTTACAAATACTTGAAACGATTTAAAATGCTTGTATTTGTATTTTATAAGAGTATTGAAAATATTTGAAGTTTACTAATGTATGTACGGTATCGCTCATATCTATAGCACGCCATTTCAAAGTGATATTGTTTGCCACTTATGTTTATTTATTTTTAAGAATTTTCAATTGAACTGTATTCCCTAACAAAACCCATTTAAAACTAAAACAAAGGCAAAAAATGTTCACCCAAATTTCAATCTTTTTTCTCAGAAGTGTTAGATTTTTTTTAACATACAGTATATATATATATATATAGCCCATTCAATTTTAGTGAGATAATGTGCAAGTTCCTAGTGGCTAAAAACTACCGTTGATTTATTTTCTCGAATTTTTTGTCGCATTTGCTTCCATATAACGAATAAAATCAATTTATTTGTATAAAGAAGAAAAAAATTATTTTTATATGGGTTTTCAATTGTAAAGTCTTCAAAAAAATAAATAACCATAGATGGCGAACAATATCACTTTGATATGGCGTGCTATAGATATGACCGATGCTGTAGTTTCAATGTATGTATGTATATTTCATTTTACATATGTAAATACTACAATTTAAAACTTTACTTTTTATTATACATACATATGTATTTTCTTACGATATTATATAATTTGTTACTTACTCCACTATTTAGTATATACGCTAACTTCAATGCCTGTTAACGTCTCCGGAGTACGTTTTGCTTACATTCGACGTATATTTAGTTTTTATGTTTTCACACATTTCCATAAAGCTTTTTTGCCATTGCTCTCGTTTTGGTTTCATGGGTGAAACCAAAACTTGTTGTAAAATTTTTTTGTTTTTTTTTGTTGTTGAAGAAGAATACAATAGAAGTAAATAGTCGAGAAACCAAAAGAGCTCTTTCTTTTTTTTGAAGTAATCTATTACTAATCTCCTGCTACATGTATACTTAACTAATTGGCCACTTTACTGCTAGTTGGTATATATATATATATTAGGATGTGTTTTTTCTCTATATTCTCTATATAAATATGTATAAATGTTTTCCAAAACTCTCGGAACATTTTTGAGCTAAAAACTACTAACAAACATTTTTTAGTAACGCAACTTCAGGTAGAAAAGATCTACGATCAACGCTATGCTATGCTACATATTTAAATATTTAGTTTAGGTTAAAAGGTATGCATACTGGTACCAAATTATGCAATGTACTTTTAAAAATACACATGCGTATGTATAAGTGTAGTATTTCGTTCGGTTAGTTGTGTTTCTACTTGTTTATGTAATAGTACATACATACATACTTTAAAGTTTAATGTAAAAGTGAGAAAAAATATTTAAGAAATATGTATATTTTTTATCTCTCCTGCTTGCATAAAATTGTTTTTGCTTACAGTTTGTCTAAAATTATTCTTATCGTAATTTGTTGTTGTTTAACCCTTGCTTATGTTGCTTGATATTTCCCTTTTGCTCTAGCTCTACATACATACATATCTCACTAAATTATGTTTTTTACAAGTGTAATGTAATAACTATTTGTTTTAAAGCTTTTCCGTTCTTCAAGTTTTCAGTTACATAATTTAATGTTAAAACACAATTTTTCTAAATAAAATTGGCTTAAATGCATTGCAATGAAATAGTGTTTCTTAATTTACAGTGCAAAGCTAGTTTTTAATTGGAGTTCTGACAGTTTTTAAAACTTTACAACAGAGTTCACTTTTCTGTTGTTAAGTACATTCTTCTTCCTTCTCCAATATTTATTTATTTGCAGCTTTTTCTTCATATTCACATTTTTAGTAACAAACTCTAATTTTTTTCACCAAACGAATAGGTATTAAAAAATATGAAGTTTTCCAAAGCGAAAAAGCATCAACTATTTGATCAATTTCAAAAATATTTATTACTCAATTTTTGCCTAAGAAATCGATTTTATTCTAGAAGATCTTTTGTAATTTTTAACACTAAACTTACGTTGCAGATGTTTGAAACTGATTTACGCCACAAAAACTCACACGCTGCCCAATTTTTAATAAAAAAAAATAGTCTGGGGCAGGTTAGGTCAGGTTACGTGGCTCCGCAGAGACCATTAAGTTACGTAGCGTTACCAGATAAACTTTGACCACAGCTAATCACTGAGTACCAGGAGAAATATTTAAGAACATAGCAGACCTCTTGGTAAACCGGAAGATCTTGTTGACCCTATTTTGGAGACTAGCCTGCAGTCTGTTAAAGGCAGGATATTCGCAAAGGATGTTTTACATTGTATCCTCTTTCGCGCAGCACCACCTACAGATCTTATCGTTGGTCAGAGCCAGTTTTAAGGCGTACGATGCCAGCAGGCCATATCTGGTTACAACACCAAGCTGTAACCTAGCGTCTGCCCTTTTGAGGGATAGGAGAAAATTCGTCCGCTTTATATAAAAAAATCAACAACAAAATACACGCAGCTTGTTATTTTTGCTCTAATGCTGCTACGTGTTCCCGGAACTGAGTACAAATCTAAATATGTCCTGCACTCTGCCACACTTATTGAGGAAGTGCAATCGACAACAACCGCATTTATCGCAGCCCGACTGTCGATACAGAAATTTCGTCGTTTATTTGTTGCGTTGCTGTTTAGTATTTAGCTCCGCCGCCCTCTTTGTGGCTAATACTTCTGCCTGGAAAACGCTGCAGTGGTCCGGCAGCTTATAGGATTTGTTGCGCAGACGACTGCCTTTTTCCATTTTCGACCCACCTGTTTAGGCGTCCACCGAGCCAGCACTCCTCATGCCCTCTCGCAAAACTTCGACTAGTGGCTTCGACTTAGGACTTGCACACAAACTGCCCCGTAGCATTGAACCTGGCTTCGGTTTTGAACGCTATGTTCTTGGCCGATAGGTCCGCCTGCAAGAGATGCAACAAGGTGTAACGTGCTGCACTGGGTGTAGCACTAAGTCAGGGGCGCACTCAGATATTTCTTTAAGGTGGGGACGGGGGGTTTGATATAACAGTCAAAATTTGTTGGTTTTGCCCGTCGTAATAATTGAACAGATATATGCTACGACTACACATGGTTATGGTTATGGCTATGGTATTGCGCCACTGATTGGGCTTTAACTCAAAGCCGGCATTGTAAATATAAAGGGTATGTTCGAAAATATGTCCTAGTGTATTCCAAATTTTTTATTCAAGTATTGAAATATATATATATTTAACCGTTAAAATGGAATTTATAATTTTACGATCAAGTTTAACCGTTATATTATGTTTGTGATCAAATAATTGTATTTTCAGATTTATTTTTTAAATCATGAAAGCTTCGAAATGATCAAAAATTATTTATATGAATCCAAATACGCCATATTTTTGGTCGAAAAAAAATAAAAACACAAAATAACAATTAAATTTGAACGATAAAATCGAGATCCAAACAGAGTTCAAAATGAAAAATATATGTAAGTCCAAATACGCCACAATAATAAGCACGATTATGTTTGATCGAAAAAATAAAAATCAAAAACTAACGATTTTGCATTGTTCTATAAATAAAAATCTGGGTATTTAACGGTAATTTTCGGTCACAGCTTGGTCAATAAGAGAATTCTTAATTAATATGAAATTGGATTGATTGATCTGTTGAGAAGGACTACATCGTTACCTTTTTGTTTACTACTATACTAAATATGTAAGTTGATCTTAGGATTTCTATGTTGCTCATACAACATTTTTTAATGTTTATGTGGTTTCCTGAATAATTAGAGATTATGTTTCAAATTTTAAATACATATTTATGCATATAAAATGTACAAAACACTCAACTACTTAAGGTACATTTAAATTATGTTTAAGACTTAGATTAAAAATTAGATTAGGTTTTGAAACACTTATTCTGTGCAAGTATATATTTTTAGAAAAATCAACTGATCATACAGTATATTAGTAAGTGATACCATAGTAGTAGAAGAGGAAAAATTCTAAATATACCTACAAATATAAAGACATATGTATATAAATGTTGATTTGTAGATTATAATGACTTGCAAAGATTAACAAGTGCAAGAGCAAACAATTTTTAGGGAGTCAAGTCTAAAGTACAGTGTTTGAACTTACATCTTTTTGTTATAAAATATTTATAGCTTGTGTAGAGATAGTGAGCAAAGAATCATTCGTTTTTTCCACCAAATTTTATATGTATGTTAGAAACTTTAGAATTGGCAATAAGTGCAAGTGTGCATTTCGAACAATAGTTACTTGCATAAAATAGTCAACACAACATGACGCTGGATATCTTACAAAGCCGTCGCACCTCATTTTCAAAATGAGCATATTCTCCATTTACACTTGCTCCGCCGCTTCGTCCAACACCATCGAATGCAAATCCATGGCGGAGCGCGTTTTGCGTGGCGGTCGTGGCATCATAAACAGATTGGGGCTCGGACCAACGAATACGGAATTTTGTCGTAGACGCGCAGGCGGCGCATAGCCTGGAAAAGTAGAAAAGTACAAATAGTTATGTTAAGATGTGATGTGTAAAAACTCTATGCGCATAATTACTTAAATACATAATTATATCAGGGACATAATAATTAGACATAAGTTTTTTCGGAAAAACTTTGTTCCATAACAGTTAATAGAGAGAAATATTTTTTATGTCGCCGATAAGTGTTATAACCCAACGTTTACTTTTTACGTTGCCTGATAACTGTTATTGCTCAACGTTTGTCTCTTACGTTGCTTGATAACAGTTATTGTACAACGTTTATATTTTACGTTGCTTGATAACATTTATTACCCAACGTTTATTTTTACGTTGTCCGATAACAGTTATTTCACTCCTCTAATTTTATTTTCATCATCGTTACATTCTTCTTCGTTTCCATTTTCGTCATTATTCTTATCTTACAACGTTTATCAAACAACGTAAAAGACAAACGTTGGGCAATAACTGTTATCAAACAACGTAAAAAATAAACGTTGGGTTATAACTCTTATCGGCGAAATAAAAAATACTTTTCATCTAATAACTGTTATGAAGCAACGTTTTCGTTAAATTTCAGAATTCGGGCAACGTTTTCAATTTGTAAATGCGAGATAACAATTATTTTTGGTCCCTGAATTATATAATTTATATCCGCTTTATATACTCAAAAGTGTTGGCAGATTAAAGCAAAAATACGTAGTTACAATCGCTGCAATTGACATTTTCTTTTAGTCGAAAATTCATTTAACTTTAATCTGTGCTAAAGGGCACGACAAGCTTCGGCATTGAGGGCGGCTGGCAAACAATAAAAAATATGTAGTTTGTGGTAAAAAAAGCAATTGCGTAATTACGGATAGAAGAGTGGGAGCCATGTTGCAACATGTTAATGGAACACACTGTTGGTATGCAACGAAAATTGCTTTTACGAGTATTAAGGCAGAAAGCAGAGGGAAATGCTGAAGGAAGACACCTAGGAAATTCTGGTAACCATTTTGCAATGGTAACTATGACAACAAGTTATATCCATTTGTATCTGGTGTCCACACTTTTCAGCATACCTATCTACGACTGTCCTGTGCCCGATTGGATTAAGTGATAACCAAGAACGTATTTGCAACTAATTAAATTTTTATACATTTACAGTTTTTCGATAAGCACTCTTACATACATACGTATAACTGATGGAAAATTGTATTTATTTTTTTTAATACACCCACTCCTGCAAACCTGCATGTTTTCAATATAAACCCAATATCTCAAAAAATTTGGATATTAGTGATTTCGAGATAGGGGCAAAAAAAAGAGAGAATTTCATGAAAAAATTGGGTTTAGTGACCCGTACTACCTCGCTGGTGGAAGCAAGGATTACACCGCAATGAGCACTTTTGTAGAGCATTCAATTCTGAAGAAACCCCATCATTGACCAAGATTATACCAATCAAAGTTTACGTGTATTTTATATGGGAAATCTTTGCACGCCTTGGGCGAGTACTTAATGTTAATATTAAGGGTTCAACTGTTCAGGGAGTTTTTAGGATTAGTTCATCTTTTCCATTGCATTGTCCTGAGCTAAATTTAAAGTTCCACTCTAGCTCATCGGGAAGTTGGTTAACAATTTATTTCAAGATTTGATTACACACAGGTGAAACATATTCAAGTTTGGCATTTTTTTCCTGAGAGCTATAGTGGAGTCTTTAGAGCAGTGATCTTGAGTTCGCATTCAGGAGGATCCCCAGTTCATTCGGTTGATCATAGATAGATAGATAAAAGCACGGGTATGTCAGGTCTTCTGTATATCTAAAGAGAGTCCCTAAGACAGTATGCCCAAGACACCATCGGCTTCTGTAAGGAATCCTAAAGGACTCCGTTGAAATTAACGGTAGGCACCCCAATTGCGATTTTTTGCGAAAGCGTACAATTGCTGGCGTGTGCCGATGACCTCGGCATCTTCGGCTCTGCCTTCTCGGAATTAAAAAGAAAAGCTAAGCGGGTGGGTATGGTGATGAATACATAAAAAGTGTCACCCGTCATCAGGCAAACACTCAGAGCATAAGCGTATTGACACCCACGTTGAAAGTGATAAGTTTGAAAAAGTAGACTAGTTCGTTTTTCTCGAAGATTCTGAGCAAGATCTACGTGCTTTTACTTGCCGCTGGCACAGAAGATAAGCGACTGGTTACAGCGCCCAACAAGAAGATGAGCTCTGCCGTGCAGGCTTGGCCTGGGAATTATTATAATGGAGCATCATAAGGCTCATTCTTTGAAGTTTTTGTTTGGCTCCTTTTAATTTTGTACCCACAAGTAATGGAAATAGGAAAAGCACACCGCGGTAATCCACTTCCACGGCAAGTGTGATTAAAACTGGAGTCTGGATAAGGAAGCCTACACCATCCTGGCCTATGCAGCCATCGGTATACGCTATTCCACCTTGGAGTTGGGGTAATTTATGGAAAGGAGAGCTAGCTCAGAAAACAATACGAAAAAATTGTATGAGACCAATTTAGTAATGTAACCAGAGACTTTTTATTGATTAAATGTACAATGCACAAATGTATTTTAATTATTTTCACACCATTAACTTACTTAAAAGCAGAAGAAAACAATAACGCTTTGCATTTGCTTGGTTTCTCAGCTAATTGGCTATGGATAGTTTGTATATAAAATGCTTATGTATATTGCGGCTGCTGTGTTGTAGTGGTTAGCAGTGCGCTCTAACCACTCCGCAGAGCCCGGGTGCATGCCCTGGTCAAAGCAGCATTGCAAAAATAAAAAAAAGGGTTTTTTCTTAACAGCGGACGCCCCTCGGCAGGCTTCTCATAAAAATACACTCGCCGTTCGGAGTCGGCGTAAAACTGTAGGTCCCTCCCCATTTGTGTGACAACATCAAGGCGCACGCCACAAATCGGAGTAGAAGCTCGGCCAAACACTAACATATGTGTAAGCGCCAATCTATTATTATTATATCACACGTAAATAAATCCACAATAATTCCGGTGAGATAATTATTAATGTCTTTATTTCACTATTGTATACTTCTAGGTGCATAGCAATATAACTTTATGGCGTGTTAAAATAAAAAGTGTTGGGAAATGAAAATACAACAGCAATCAACTAGGAAAACAAAGGAGATGCACAATTTGCGTTGAGCGTGTTGAGATATGATTTTCGAATTTAAATGCAAATTAATATGAAGGACTGCAAATTCATAAGCATACTAGCAATAAGTGCATGATGATACGTACACATACATACATATTTGTACATACGTACGTAATGGTAAAAATTCACACCTGAAAATGGAGATGCTAGTGTAGTGTAGTGATATGCATATGAGTGGTAAATAAAAATTTGTATTGTCAGTATGGAACTGTCAAACAACAAAGAGCTATCAACATTCAAATTTGTGGGTGAGTAAATGAAAATTTTTTATAACATTTTCATTAAAAAATATTTACCTACATACATATGTGTATTAAAGAAAGCACAACCGAGCATTTATATGCTTTTAAGTGTAAATTTTTCATTGATCAGAGCTCATTGTTTTCTTCTCCTGCCATTTTCGTTTTTAAGATTACTTTAAGAGCTAGCTTTCACTAACTACTATGTATAGTTGAAAACCATTTTTTTGATTTTCTGATATTGTTATCAAAATATTATCAACAACTGCTTCACATTCGTAATGTAGTTTGCTTTGCTCTTACATTGTCATATTAACCAACTACTGATGGTTTTAGCAACCTTTCTACTTATAATTTAGTATTTTGCCGGCTCGAGGTCAATTTTAAAAATTTTATGAAAACACAAGTGTTTTTTGGTGTTTGTTTCCCATATATTTCGATTACGCTTCGGTAACCGCCCTCAGGGCAAATTAATTTACACGTCCGCACTGTTTGGGGTGGAGTTTGGTATAAGAAGAGGCGCGTAACAAATTATCATTGCTAATAAAATACCACAAAACTTTTTATTCAGAATTTTAAGAAAAATTTTATAGCCAATTAAATTTTAACACGATAAAGTGTAAGTTTCAAGTGCCTGCAAAATGCCGTTAATTTTTTATAATTTTTTTTTCAGAAGGAGTCGCGGTGTAACTCTGTCGCCGCCAATATAATTAACTTCAGAGAATAGGTGTTAAAATTTTTGACAGCTGTAGTGCATAGCGCGTCTTTTTTAATGTGTTTTATGTATATAGATTTTAAGATTCGTTCGCTAGTGATGCAGGCACCAACCGTTTTTATTCGCGTCAATCTTCCAGACGCGGTAAAGATTAACAACCACAAATATATGTAAATGGTCCTAATGACCAGCATTCTAAGAAATTCTCAATAAAACTTGTTCATATATGTATTGTGTTTCAAGTGGCAATTTAGTTAAAGTATGGCGCTCGTTAAATTTAATTGCATCACAATTTATGCCTTAACCGAAACTTTTTCAATTGTTAGTAAAGAGTTTTTTGTATGCCTGAAGACAATACCTTTTCTTTATGGGCTACCAGTACCTGTGCTTCTGTCTGTCATTTACACAGCAACCGCCGGATGCTGCTCTAACAAAAGACTACCTGCGCCATGCAGTATGAAAACTAAAAATATTACAAAATCCATTCAGTAGTGGGAAAAACCCAAGGTTTAACTGAGTTGATCAATTAATACAACTGTGGAAAAACCAAAAAAAAATTTGCTCTAACTACGGATAATTTAAAGCGGTGGGAAAATCCAAGGATTTAACGGCACTCGTCAATTAAATCAACAAAAACTATAACTTACTAAATCATTCATTTCGCGGTGGAAAACCCCAAAGAGGCAGGCGATCCTTAGTCAAATCAAAAATGCTGCATTATTGTAGACAGTCACAATTTTTACTGTTCGTTATTGTGCTGACAATCAAATCAACGGGCAGCCGGCCAGCGCCAGCGTCAAAAGAAAATATCGATGAGAATCTGGGCAGCATTTTTAAAGTGGGTCCAGGCTTTGCTGTTTTCAACACTACCAAAGAAATGCCAATAGACGATGAAATTATTTGCCCCGAACGACGTGCAGGAGCGCCATTTTGCACAGAGGTGGAAAATTATTTGGAAGTAACGCAGTTAGATAAATTCAGTTTAGAAGAATTTGAAAAATTCAAACCCTATTTCAAAGATGATTTTGTACGGCCAGCAAATGTTACAAATCGCATGGATGTTGAACCAGCGGAGAGCTACTTTTGCAATAGTAAAACGCGCGTAGTTTACCCAAAGGTGGCTGAATCAAGTGAATCGCGCTGGTTGATGGTGGTGCAACATCAAAAATACAGACAGGGCGTGCTGGTGGAGCAGTGTGAAAACGAGAATACGCCCTGTAAGTATGAAGAACTCTTACCATTTGGTATAACGACGAGATGCAGGCAACATTTTGTCTATAGAAGTTTGGTGGTGTTGGTCGAAGGCGTAATGCAGGAGCGAATGGTGAAATTACCAAATGCTTGCAAGTGTGTGCTGAGGCATGTACATTAGAGTTAAAATTTATAATTTTTTTTATATTATAATTGTTAATTAGTTTTAAGAATTAGGTATTGCTTTTTTATGTGATAAAATTTAGGAAATTTTATGTTATAAATAAAGTAAAATTTTTTTATCTACACGCTGACATTTTCCTTTCACTTTTGCATGAAATTATTTGGTGATTTGTTTTGCGAATTCGCTTTTAGGCATGGTGGTTGCTAGTGATGGCACGATTAATCGAATAACCGATCGATTATTTTCATTCGGTTAACGATTTAATTGTATCGAAATTTTCCTTTTGATTCATCGAGCGATTAACCGATTAATTTTTCAAAATAATCGAAAAGAAACCATCAAAAATTTACTAATTTACTCACACAATAATGTATGAATCAAAATAAGTTGGAATGTTTTTTGCATTCTCGTATTCTGCAATTTTTTTTAAACGATATTTCTGCAAAAAACCGTAACACAAGCTTAACCTAGTAGCTACTAAAAAATCATAACCCAGGTATGCACATATTTTCATTTTATTTTCCGAATTCGGTGTTGTGCGTTTTTTTTATAACGGGTGATTTTTTAAGAGCTTGATAACTTTTTTTTAAAAAAAAACGCATAAAATTTGCAAAATCTCATCGGTTCTTTATTTGAAACGTTAGATTGGTCCATGACATTTACTTTTTGAAGATAATTTCATTTAAATGTTGACCGCGGCTGCGTCTTAGGTGGTCCATTCGGAAAGTCCAATTTTGGGCAACTTTTTCGAGCATTTCGGCCGGAATAGCCCGAATTTCTTCGGAAATGTTGTCTTCCAAAGCTGGAATAGTTGCGGGCTTATTTCTGTAGACTTTAGACTTGACGTAGCCCCACAAAAAATAGTCTAAAGGCGTCAAATCGCATGATCTTGGTGGCCAACTTACCGGTCCATTTCTTGAGATGAATTGTTCTCCGAAGTTTTCCCTCAAAATGGCCATAGAATCGCGAGCTGTGTGGCATGTAGCGCCATCTTGTTGAAACCACATGTCAACCAAGTTCAGTTCTTCCATTTTTGGCAACAAAAAGTTTGTTAGCATCGAACGATAGCGATCGCCATTCACCGTAACGTTGCGTCCAACAGCATCTTTGAAAAAATACGGTCCAATGATTCCACCAGCGTACAAACCACACCAAACAGTGCATTTTTCGGGATGCATGGGCAGTTCTTGAACGGCTTCTGGTTGCTCTTCACTCCAAATGCGGCAATTTTGCTTATTTACGAAGCCATTCAACCAGAAATGAGCCTCATCGCTGAACAAAATTTCGACATTTCATTTCATTTTCAACATTTCGAACCGAACACTGATTTTGGTAATAAAATTCAATGATTTGCAAGCGTTGCTCGTTAGTAAGTCTATTCATGATGAAATTTCAAAGCATACTGAGCATCTTTCTCTTTGACACCATGTCTGAAATCCCACGTGATCTGTCAAATACTAATGCATGAAAATCCTAACCTCAAAAAAATCACCCGTTATATACGAAAATAAGCAACGCCATTACCAAACAGAAATATCCCAAAATCAGCGATAAGTGCCAGATAAGGTCCTGGAACTTTTCATACAAAAATTTAATGGGCTACAAAACTGCATACTGAAAATCTTTTTAAGAAATCTCATTAAAAAGCTATAATTGTTTGTTGATTTTCTTTTATATTGCACAAAGTTTGATATATTTGTGTTTATACGTTTTTTGTTAAAGAATAAGCTATATTTAAAAAAATGACTAGAATTAAATAACAAAAAAAAAATCTTTTCGTGCGCTGTAATTTTGACAGGGTGTAAGTCAGTTTTTATAACTTTTATAAAAAACATCGATGTATTTGTTACTTGTGCATCCCTAATCCCATCTCTGATCTATCTAAAAGTACCTTTGCATGCAACATGCAATACAGATATTCAAATTTGCACTTGCAAGCTCAGTCAGTTAGTGTTTCCTTTTGTCACGCCTTACAATTTTAAATTTCGTTCGAAAAAATACAAGAAAATGTATCAACAAGCTTTTGCGCTTTTCGCAGTAAATCGGACAATGTGAGGGTCACCAATCAGAAACAACACTTGTCAATGACTATTACCATCGTAATTTTGAATTTTTAAAGATACGTATGTATGTATGTACACTTATTATTCCAACTTAATACATGCTGATATATATTAGACTGGTTCGCATTAGATCGCGTCAATCCCCATAAGAAAAAATAAAATAAAATTTGTAATTACTGCCTAGTTTGAAAGCATAACTGGGGAGGTTTTTATCGTCTGAGAATGGTTCGTCTAAGCTTAGTTTTAAAATTTTCCAAAATTGGATATTTTTCATAACATTTTATATTTTGTAAAACCCCTTCAATATTTTATTGTCCTAAATTACCAAAATAAAGTTTGAAAAAAAGTCAAGAATAATACTGGATTATGGCTGCTTTTAGTACAGACTATAGATACAATTTATGATTATATTTTGACATCAAAAAGATGTAGTGGAAAACTGTTGTACAGTTTTTTTTTTTTTTGAAGATACCATTGGTGTTCTCTTTAATTTAAGAATGTGATTTGCCTACGACTTACAAAACTTGACTCTCCTCATTTTTAGTGAAAAAAATGGATTATCTATAGCTGGATTAGCTGGGCGCTATTAATGAAGTAGTACGACCGGAAAAATTTTGATATTTCGTGATTTCAAAATTTTCTGGGGACCATGCAGAATTTTATTTCGGGACTTGACGGTGTTCCTCGTGGATAACTTAGCCCTATTTATCAGAAAACTTAGGTATTTTTTGGGACTAGTAATTGTTTAAAGGAATCTTCCGGAATTTGTCCGACCATTCGGCATTCTTTGTGCTTAAATTTTCGATTTTTTTTCGGGTTACTTCGTGTTAAACCTTTCAAAGATTTTTCGGGATTCATAGTATTTTATTCTTTGCGATCGTTTGGTATTCTTCCCAGAATTTTTGGTTTTTTACTTTTCAGGATTTTTCGGAAATTTTTGTGACTTGCTCAGGACTTTTCGAATTTCTTCCTTTTCTACTTTTATGGATGTTCCTAGGTGCGCTCGTAATTTTACGAAATTTTTTGCGATTTTTCTGGAATATTCGGTGTTCTTTGTACTTATATTTTCGGACTTTCGGGATTCTTCATGTCATAGCTTTAGGTATGCTTTCGGGCTCTTTCGGTACCTTTAGAATTTTTTTATAAATTTTGCGAGACTTACGGTTTATGTTAGTAATTCGAGAAATGGAGGAATTTTTGGAATTGTTCTTGGACACATGTATTTTGAACCGCTACTGTTTTGCCAATTGGGTTAGGTCATTTGCTTTTCGTGCATGCATACATACATACATACATATGTACATAGTAAATATATAGAGACAGTGATTTCCTTGTTGATATGCAAGTTGCAATTCTGCTTATGCAAGCCATGTTGTTTGGCTCTCTGCTTTTCATTTCTGCAGTCGATGTTTACAACATTTCCCTAATAGTTGGTGCTTGAGTGCAATTTCAATACTTTTTCAGGAATGCGGGCGGGTAAATGTAAACTAAGTAACGTTTGGAGTTTTGCATGTGTACATTCATTTGTTTTCAAATTCACTTGCATGTCTGTTTATGCAATTCCATTCAAATGGATGTGCCTGACCAGTGGGAGGTCTGTAGAAAAATTTTGTAATCATTTATCAACGTCAGTGAATGGGTTGAAGTATTAGGGATATTAAAAAGCACACTCGTGTGGTTGATTCGAAGAAAACTTTGGTATGCAAACTTATGTACATAAATACTTATGTATGTCAATGAATGCATACACATGGAGATATGCATGTACGAGTACATGAATCACTTGAAAGCGTGTTTTGTACAGCGATAAGGCATCAGAGAGCAACCAACTTTCGTGCAATATTTAAGCTTCAATAAATTAACAATTTATGTCGTTAGACAGTAGTTGTGGATTATCAAACAAGCACCTTTCTATGTTAAGTCGCTGCTGTGGCAAAGAAAGTTGTTGTAGGTTTTAAAATTTATCTGTCCTTTAAAAACAAATTTTGTACTGAAAAAATGTGTTTGAAGGTTAGATAGATTTAAAAACCTAGTACATGAGAAAACAGTACTAAGAAAGTTTGAAAAAGCTATAACTATAACTATAAATTGAAAACCAAAATACATAAGTAGCGGACCCGAAAAGTTTATAAAATTTTGCACATTTGAAAATAAATAAATTCAAAATCAGATTTGAAAAATTATGCTTACCTTTAGCATATATCGTGGGATTATATGCAGCGAAATGACATGTTGGCATATTGATGTTATTGACTAGGCCCATTGACATACGAGACACAGATGCACGCTGAAATAGATACGAAAACAAAATTACTTAACAGTGAACGTAGTTCAGTATGTATTCGAATTTTTGATTTCCTAATAAAAATCTTCATTATTTCTTGAAAAATTCTGGTATGGCTTCGGCTTTCGAAGGACTTTTTAATCTTGCAATCTCCGTTAAACTTTCGAGCTGGCTGAAGAAATGTATCTCTTGGCCTTTTGACAACCCGAATATTGGGTAGCAAGGGAAATCCATAACTTTATGCTTCAGTTTACTATCGAGAGCTTACTATAGGTGTTTTATTTCAATGGACGCAACTACACTGCCCACAATATTTTTGTTTGGTATAACTTTCCTACCAAAATCTCATATCTGACCAATCTTTTATATGTGAGGTACATCATAAATAGGCACCCGCTTACTAAATTTCAGTCGTATACCTTGAAAACTGAGGCAATAGATTCTATTCACGCAGACAGACAGATATTCTAATCATTTTGGTATATCCCTTTAAAAAATTTTATGAGTGCTCAGAATTTATGAGTCTAAAGTGAGTCCTTCTCTCTTCATAAATATGATTCTGAGACCAATCAACCAGACTGACTCATTTTGGGACTCTTTTGATGTCTTAAATGCTGAGTTGAACAAAGTAACAAAGTTCACGTAGAAGTAAAATTTTATTAATAATCGGAGTTGTAAGGAATATTTGTTTCGAAGACTCAGAAAGTGTCATATTTCCGACTCCAATATGACTCCTAACTTGGACCCATATTGACGTGCCTTTCTAAGAAGGGAAACGTGCTCTTTCCTGACACTTTTTTTAGGTCATAATTTGGGTTGCAACTCAAAAATCTGAAACTTTTCTGAATCTAAAATGAGTCTGAATGTTCATAGGAATTCTTTCGGGGGTGTATCTCTTCTTCATCTGGTACTTTCATGTTTATGAAAGGTATATATATACTTTCTTTTTGGTTGTTGTTGTTTCAGGCAGGGTTTGTATACGATGTATTTTGGAAGGAGTTTCCGTCATCCCTTCAGCGTTCTCGAAAATGACACTGAAGATGGCATATCGCCGAAACCGGTTTGTCTCCAAACACAAATTTGATAATGGATGACGGAAAAGACATCGCATATATATATATATATATATGTATATATCTAATTTGCATTCAAAAAAATACTCACCCCATGTGTTGGTATTGCGTCCATATCGACCAGCGGACAGGAAGACCGATGTTGTTGCTGAAATTTCGGTTGATACGGTTCCAGCATACGTATCTTACCCCAACGGTTAAAGAACAAAACGATGGCGCCCACCCAAAGCATCAATACGAGGCCAACAATGATTACCTCCTCTGGTCGCACGACGATTTTTGGGCCTTTGAAATTCGATTGAAAAGAAAAGCAACGATCAGATAAATAAATATTGGGTGTTCAAACTGTCTTCTTATTAGATTATCTAGTTATGCGATTATAAGTTTTACTCAGATTACAACAATAAAATATGGTAGAGAATAATAAATAATTCACAACCAGGCACTCTAATAACCAGAAAGATTTGAAAACATCACTATTTTTTCCGCAAATGCATTTACACCAATTAAATTTCAAGCAATTTGTGTGACTGTAATGAACACCAATTTCAATTAGAGCAAAAATCAATGAAAGCAAAATAACCAAGCTACTCGTAGCGTCTAAGTTGCGAATTTCTCTTTTAAATTGACTTTGAAAATGACAAACGGAGACAAATGTAATGAAAATTACATTAAAGAAAAACAAACAACCCGTAATGGCTAGTCTGGCAGCGCGCGTTGAGGAAATACAGCAACAAATAGTAATGAAGTCAATGAGTCGCGCTGTTGAACAAATCACTGCAACGACTTTTAATTACTACTGTAATGGCAGGTGGATATATTGGTAATTTGTTTTAATTACTTGCAACCAAGTAACAGTTGCAGGATAATACGGGAAATGGTTAATGCCATTAAATTCGATATACATATGTGTATGTAGGTATATACTTAAGCACACGTGGCAAAAGAGAAGATAAATACTTTTCGTAATATGAATATTTATATGTATACAAGCAGTTATGTATATATAACTTTGTATACACCTTTACACATATGTATGTAGGTTGTGTAAACAGAAGAATATCCTTGAATTTCATGAGAGTCACATATGCGGCACGAAGTCGACCACGCTTGTCAACGACATACCGTTGATGTTCCCATCGCCGATCAAATTACCGATGTATGTACATTAGGGTGGTCCAGAAATGCTTGAGGGTGGGGGAAAAAGTATAGTCGGATTTTTATGCTCTCACCGCCTAGGATTGTTCTATACCGCAAAAAATATGGCCCTATTTTTTATTTTGAAATCATAAAATATTTAGATGACGCTCTAAGCGCTCAGAATTTTCCATGTATTTTATATGGGGAAAAAAACACTTTCCGGAAATGGTTTAGAATTCTTGAAAATCAATATTTTTATTAAAAACTGGTTAAATAAATAATTGGGTATTGTTACTGGAAGTTTTTTCTGGAAAGTTTTTCGATTGAAAAATATTGATTTCCAAGAAAACTATTGTTGAAAAGTTTTTTTTTTCATATAAAGTACATGAAAAAATTTTAGCGCTTTGAGTGACCTCTAAATATTTTTTTATTTAAAAAAAAAATGGGTAATGCCATTTTTTTAATTTAAAGGTCCGTCAAAACCCTCAGAAAATGCAATGAAGTGATAAAAAAAAAAATTAGTATTAAAAATGGTTAAATAAACAATTATTTATTGTTTTTGGAAGTCTCCTGAAGACAAACAAAGTTCTTCGAAAAATATTTATTTTAGAGAATTTTGCACCATTTCCACGAAAAATGGTTTCTTTCCCATATAAAATGCATGGAAAACTTTGCTCTAAATATATTTTGATTATAAAATTAAAAAAAGGTATATTTTTCGATATAAAACAATCCTAGGTGGGAAGGGGGGAGGGGAGAGCATTAAAATCCCAACTTTACTTAATTTGGACCACCCTAATGTACATACATATGTGTCCAAGTATGTATGTACAGTATAGGTCACATCTATAGCACGCCATTTCAAAGATACACTGGTTTCTACTTATGTTTATTTATTTAATTTTAAGACTTTTCAATTAAAATATAGTTCATTCTCTTACAAAACCCGTAAAACCCCAAGTTTTAGTCTGATAATGTGCAAGTTTCAAGTGGCTGAAAATTACCGCCGATTTTTTAGAATTTTTTTTTTTTGTCGCATTTGCTTCCATGTAACGAATAAACACAATCTATTTGTATATGAAAAAAAACGCAAAATGTGTTGCATTTGTTTGTAGTTTTCTATAAAGTTTTAAACTTGGGTTCATATGGGCTTTGTTAGAGAATGAACTCTGTTTCAATTAAAATTCTTAAAAATAAATAAATGAAAAAAGTGGCAAATAATATCATTTTGAAATGGCGTGCTATAGATACGACCGATACTGTATATTCGTTCATTCTTGTTAGCAATTTCCTCTTTCCCATTTAAACATATGTTAGCAAGTATATATTTAATATATGTATGTTTAAGCACTTATCTACTTACATACATTCATATGGGCATACATATGTACACATCACGTGCGGCAACGGTTTGAGTAGAAATTGCGTACGCGCGTTGTAAAACTTGATCTTTACGCTCACCTTTGGCTGGGAAAAGGAATATAATTTCCGCTCTTTTTTTCCTGTCCTGGGTTGTCAAACACATGTGTGTGCCACGTGGCATATATATACATATCCTACGTATGTATAACACAATACATAGCTACCTTACTGGAAATTATTTCCATAATTTTCATGCACGAAATTTTTGGCCTTCTAGCAAGTGTGAAACCATGACTAATTTATTTTTAGTTTTGTGTGTTTTTTGTTGCATAGAGAAGGTAATAAATGCCTATGAGCTCTAAATTTTCACTATTTTATTCTACAGTTAATTTTTTTTTTCGTATTTCTACTACCATACGTCCATCAGGCTACTTTCTGGGTACCTGACCAGCCATAACCAATTGAAATTCCACTTTCGTCAAATAGATGCGATCGCAGAGTCGCAATGCCGGCTCTGCCTCGAAGGTGATGAAACTTCGGAGCATATTCATATTCTCTGTCACTGTCCGGCTTTGGCCAGACAAAGACTGATTTATTCTAAATCTTCAATGGTCAAATCCTTTGTTATAAGGAATTCGACTACCAAGGCCCTTTTAATATTCATTAGGGTAGCCGAAGGTATCTTGGCCACACTGGGTTAGGGACTCTCTTTAAGAGACACAAAAGATCTTTTAGGTCGCGATGTCTCTTGTTCTAGTACACCCAAAAAATTAATAAACTAACTAAAAGTCAACTATAAAAATAGCACACTTCCGTCTTTGTCTTATCTTATTTAATTTGTGGAATTTTTAGTTTATAATTCTGTCAACATCTCAAGCCCTGCTCAAGTGTACTGGACTTTCTGCCACTCTTGTCTTCCTTTCATAAAGGCCTCCGGTATCGCTCGATTGTCGCTCGCGACGCAATTAGCTACAGGTGTTCTCTGTGTAGATACTACTTATATTGGGATGGTCCCAAGTTTTTGTTTTCAGTACCCTCCAGAAGTGGAGATTCCGAAATAAAAAAAAAATCGGGTCTCCTCTTTTTATATGTGACCTGGTCTACGAAAAGGGAGCTTACGTGCGAAAACTAGTTTTCTGTGAAAAAGCTGTTAAAAGTAAGCAACTCGTTTCGTTTACTCGTTTTTACTCTTCTTTCTCTACATTTTTTGTACACTTCTAAGCAAGTTAGGATTTTCTGCTTTTCACCACGTGAAAAAGCATCTCATCTTCCATCCGAATCAACCAAAAAGTGAAAATTGATTTTTTGACACCTAAGCCCCCTTTCCGTAGACCAGGTCACATATAGTCTTTAGTTATAGTGATGACAGCGGGAAGATTTCTAAAAGTTGTGTATATTTGGACCACCCTAACGTATATAATATTCAGTTACGATGCTGAATTCGCATTCCTTTAAATGTAGGGGTTTCTACTCATCAAATATTGTTTCACCGGCTTTAATACAATTTCGTATTTCTTTACTTTCTTTTTCAAGAGTATAACAGGCTTGAAAACGTAAACAAACATCATTTCTGTTTTAACTTATTTTCTTTTGTTCATTTATTTTTTTCATTGCCCATAATTTAAAGTCACTTTTGTTTGCATTAGTAGATATATATGTATATATGTATGTACGCATTTGTACTTACATATGTATGTATTCAGCTCCGATGATTGGTGCTTTAATACTATACATACCTGCATATGTATATATATAAAGTAAACAAAAGCTAAATCAATAACTTAAAGCAAGCGGTTCAAGTTATATTAAAAGTATTTTTGTTCCAATATGCCGAAGGCGCACCACAAACGAATTTTATTTTGCCTCTTTCATTTTCCGCTTAACTAAAACGTCTGCCGCATTGAACGCATTGAAACACAAAAGCTAATTGCGAGTGTTTGAGCTTGCAAAACGTTTTATGTTTATTTTTAATTTTTGCAATAACCCCAAAAAGTTCTGAAAAATCGAGGAAGGTAGCAAAAGGATTCAGAAAATTACCTAAAGCCTCCCAAAAATCACGAGGAATTCTTGAAGTCTTGAAATATAACGAAAACCACGGACCATTTCATTATATCATAAATGTCTAAAAACCGATTATTATTATTTTTTTGTTTAACGGTTTAGTATACAAAAATCGACAAGACAGCATAGCACTTTAGTATTCAGCGTCCTTCATATACTTGAGTACCTGAATGTTTTTTCCTTTAGTATCTAGGCATCTCTATACACTACGTTTGTGGGTAGTATTTAGCGCTCAAAAAGGTACAAAATTATTTGTTTTTGTGCTGTCGCAAACTCAAATGAACCGAAGGGATAAAACATGAAATACATTCGCAAATGCTGCGTTGAAATTGAAAATAATTTTTCCCGCGACAAATTTAATTTTTTTTTCGAATATCGAGTCATTGGAGCAATACGTAATACATTCAAGCCCATTAGGATGCTCTCTTCAAAATTCCAGTTACATCAGCCCCAGGGCACTAACTCAAGTGGCCAAAATATGTTCTCTCCAACGGCAGTCCTCAACATAAAAGGTCATACTAAAATAAATCCCAAACTTTTATCGAAAATAACTACGTATAACGCCTTCACTAAAAGTTCACAAGTTCAGGTTCATGGTTTATAGCGAAAGTTTAAGGGAGTGCTTATTTGCGAACTAATACGAAAATTGTTCTTATGTTTTTTTACTGTACATACAAGTCAAATGAAATGTACTAATTTAATTATTCATTTTTATTTTAAGATTACAATTTTTGAAGAACAAAGGAACTAAAAGTTTAAACTGCTCACTGTAGTATCAATTATTCATTCATTCGTATAGCATCTGAGTTCTGCACATCAACGTAAATTCTATCTATTATATATGCTCTCCGATTTCGTAACTTCTTCAAAAAATTCTGCGAGTGACTTTGTGCAGTCGGCGAACGTTTAGTGATCATTTGCTTTGGTTGCTTTGGCGACGGAGTAACGTTCACTTTACTCTTCTCACTCTTTTTCTCAGTGTGCTGCTTGATTTCAGTCATGAGTTTCTCGATGATGACCGCTCGTTCAGGAGTGATCTTGTACAAAAAATGTGGCTTGCGACTATTGTGCCCCTCCTTCGATGGTGTTTCATTGTCTGCTGCTTTGACTGCTTCACATAAATCGTTCTCCATAGGCTTACTGTTGTTGGTGTCAACACTCTCACTATTACTATTGCTTAGCATAGATCCATAGCAACTTTCAATTGTTTGGTCATGGACAGCTGATGGTGCGGGTACTTGTGAGTCCATCATCTTCTTTGATGGCGGTCGTTCTCGTATAGACAGGCGACGTTGTTGCAGGCAAGATTTTTCCTTAATGTTATAACACAGAGTTTCCACTTTACGGCTCTCACCATTCATGGAGCCTGTGTGATTTGAAATTCGGGTTTGTTGACTGTTTTGTTTTGTAGCTGATACATGCTGCGGAAGTGCACTTTCTACTTTTTTATGAGAAACGCTATGGGGCTTGCGTGTTTCGCAATCTTTAAAAGCCTCTATCCAGGGCGCATAAACCGGTACGTATTTTTGGTTGTTTCTTAACGGTGGTAGTTCTGTTCTACTAGTCGCAATTCGAGCAGCGACAGTTGCACCGGCTGGTGATGCAGAAACTGGTTTAGTAAGAGGTGTAGAGCGTTCCAAGGTATCTTCATTTTTGATGATGTAACGCCCAAATATTGGCGTTTGTATGCACGAGTCTCGTTTGATAGTTTTTTTCTTAGACTGTAGTGCGCCCATGGCTACGGAGTTTAATAATTCAAGATAAAATGTGTTTGTGTCGAATAACTACTGCAGATTGTGGCAATCCTCGAAAGCAGTGATCTTTTTATACAACCAAAATTAATTTGTTAGCGACTTTTGACTCGTTACGAACGAAAAACAGGTACAAATATTTAATTAACTCACAGGTATTAGTTAGAACTCCCCAAACCGGTAAACAAAAATGTTATACCTCACACTATTCATTATTAGTTTCCTCAAAATAATCAAAGGCTACCTGTTAATGATACATATAGTGCAGCTGGTACATATGAACGCGATACCAGGAAAATATAAGATTATTCAGAACACATACAAAATTCGCTCGTATATTCAGTTAGTTTTTCCCAAATTAAAAATATTCGAAACACAGTCAATTCTTCGAGCAGTGTATGTACCTGAACTAGATTAGTTAAAAAGTCCGTCCAAATTTTTTATCGCAATTTTTTAAATATGTATTAACGAGAGGCTCTAAAAATTCGTTTTATAATAATTAATATCACAAAATTTTTTATACATAGTTAATATCGACTTTTTTTGATATTTGTATCAAATGGTGAATAAACTTCTAGTTGCCCTTTATGCATATATTGGCATGCTTCACGAAATATGTAAGTTGCTACTTCCTTTAAACCTTTCCTTCCTTTCCTTAAAACCGTTACAGTTCGATGTTTTTCGTCATAAAATTGTTAGTTGGAATGCTTTCTGCCAGCAAATAAATAACTAGCCTTGTTGATAGAGGAATGAAACTTTAAGACATCTCCATAAAATTACAAAAGAAAAGCTGTAAAAAAATTCGCAACATGGACAGTTTTCATATCTTTATTTTGACCAAGATATAAATGGGAAAAAAGGTTTTAGGCGGGACGAAGTTCGAAGTTGATTTTATTTACCGTTTTACAAAGAGATGGAATTTTCCGAAAAATATTTTTCGCCCATATTTTAATCCTTTTTTAGAGTAGTTTTATGAATTCTTTCACTAAGCCAACAATCAAAACACTTCTTTAAGTTGGGCCTAGTTTTTTTGCCTTTGTTCTTCTATGCAATGCACTGTTCCGATATGTGCTGTGCAGTTTCAGTTTCCTGTGAAAATTCCCAAATGATCCTTAAATTGTTCACGGATAAAATAATGCATTTTATGTTCTACATTCCTGTTAGTGGCGTGGAGAGCTCTAGAGTCTAGACCTCTAAGCACTTTCATCACTTTTCCGTTAATAATATATATAACAATGTATACCTCTACTATGCATCTATGTATGCACATATGTAGCTATAATCTATCGTTACCACATATCTTAATTTACTTCTTGTTAACTTACCACTCCCCGCCGCGGTGGAGTTCAATGCTGTTTCGTTGGTCACATCTTCGTGGCTGCTGATATAATCTGAGTTCGTTGCTGAGGCAGTTCCAGTCTCTTCGATTTCCACAATAAAATTTGGTCCAGTCCAACCAGAGCCCCATTCTAAAAGTAGATCGAGAAGAAAAATATTTAGCGTCGTTTTCTCAAGTATAGCGTTTAGCTCACATCATGCTTAAAAATTGCTTTAAAATATATAGCTATGTCTAGAGTAAAGAACTACTATTATCGGGTTTTAAAGTATGCAGTAAAGCAATTTAAACCCGATACTAAAATGTTTTTTTTTTAGAAAAAAACATAAATTTTAATATAAAGTGAGCTTTAAAGTTATAGGTTACATAAAAACCGGCCCTTAGTGTAGTAATTTATAAATGAATGAATGGAAACCATCGAACACCTTTTCAAATATTTCCTCTATTAGCAAAGGTAGAGCTACAATTTTTGGCAATTACTTCTTTGATGATCTGGATGAGCCCAAAAAAAATAAACATTATAAAGAAACCAGGCCGCTGTCGGCCGCTGTGGTGTAGTGGTAAGCAGTGCGCGCTTCCACTCCGCTGCGCCTGGGTTCAAGCCCTGGGCAAAGCAACATCGAAAAAAAATAGAAAAAAGTTTTTTCTTAACAGCGGTCGTCCCTCGGCAGGCAATGGCAAACCTCCGAGTGTATTTCTGCCATGAAAAACAGCTTCTCATAAAAATACAATCGCCGTTCGGAGTCGGCGTAAAACTGTAGGTCCCTCCGCAGCTCGGCCAAACACTAACATATGTGTAAGCGCCAATATATTATTATTATAAAGAAACCAGGAGATTGGGAGTAATAAGTGGGTTTTAGCGAAACGGGCATTACTGTAAACCCTGTGCGGTATCACTTAAGACTGTGCCTGGCGTTCAACCAAGCTTGACATTTGAAGAGAACATTATTAGAGCAATGGCTGCGGTCCCCGATTTCGGAGGAATTTGAATTTGGTAATGGATTTAGCTTTGGGGGAATTCAATATCAAACGATTTTGATTAGAACATTACTATTGAGGATAAAATTGCATTTACAAATTACAACTTGTAATACCAATCTCTCATTTTGTTATTACGGGTTTGCCTCATGCAACCGTGGGAATATTAAAGAACTTGCAACTGTGCATAGCGACCAGTGTTGCGAGCTATTTTGTAGCTAGATTTAGCTATTATTTTGGACGTTTAGCTATAGAAATTTGCATTTAGTGCTATTAGCTACTTTTTAAGCTTTTTTTTAAATCGAGTTAGTTATTTTAGCTACAATTGTTTTTATAATTTCCCCATTTTTACACAGAGTTTTATCATTTTGATGGATATAAAACAATACAAAAGTTGGTATTCTGGCATCTCTAATCCCCTTTTTGTTATAGCAATTACTCCGTGCGACAATATAATAATCTTAGTTATTTAATTTATTTAGCTATTTTTGAAGAAACAAATTTTTAGCTATTTTTAGTAATTTTTTTTCGAATAATTTGGCTATAAGCATTTAAATTTTCTGGCAACACTGACTGCGACATTTTTCACTTTTTCGTTTGACGATCTTTTTTCTTGTTGCGTTTTCTCCACCAAGCCATCGATTTTTTTATATTATATATCACAGTTAATGATATTTTTTGTTTCTTTTTTTAATAAAAAATTATCATGAAGTGCTTTAAATATATCGCAAAATTCATTTCGTTGGAATTTCATTGAAAATAGGGGAATTTTTTAATGAATTTCGGGGAATTAGCCCTAAGAGGGTTGGCATCCTTGGCTGGGGTGGACCTTTTTATGACTACGAAATTCCCTAGAAGTTACAAATCTTCTCGTTCGTTTGCGGATTAACCCGGGCTAAAAGGAATGAACTTGAGAGATTATACTCATTGTTTGAATAAAATAAAAATTAAAGCAAAGTTCCACGGTTTGTACATTTGTACAGATTTGTATAGCGTTGTTGTTTGTATCAAGAATAAGTTCAGCTCAATGAAAAAATTTCCAAACAACCCTACTCTGTAACTGTCAAAATGTAAAACTCTATACAAATGGACAAATCTTGTGTTACCTGCTTAATGCTCAAACTATAGCTTTTTTACCTTCTGAAACTCCTGGCGTTGGTTCTGGTCGCTCTAATAACTTCTCCAGTTTGGCTGCTGAAATGAAAGAATGGTAAAATAATTAGTTAAAATGGGCTCAAACTTGCCGTTCACAATTCATTTGTCTTTCATGTGGAATTTTATTCAAATGTATATATATTTCATTAAATAACGTTTGTATGCACTCATGAATGAGCAATTTGTAAACACGTACATATAACACCTGTTTCAAAATTGGCGATGCGCCAAAGCAAACTTGGCTGGTTGTAAATTACCCATCGCATAGGAAATGGAAGTGTCTGCAATTTCAGCCAGACTTTTTCGCAGCAGTTATGTATTTTGTTTTTGGCTACAAACTTGTTGAATGAAAACATTAAATATTCTATGTTTTCCGAAGTAGCACATGCAAAAGCACAACTAGCTAGGCAAATATCAGCTGATTAAAAAAAATATTGGTTTTTTAAAGAAAAATGCAGTCATTAAGAAAGTTCCACAATTTTATATGAAAATAAATATTTGCAAAAAATAAAGCCGGCCCAGTGCATTGCTATATCAAGCAAATAAGTTAAGCTTTAACAATGTTGACCTATCAATGTCACTTTTATTAACTCCTGCACTAAGCTGTTTCTCCTTTCATGCTTGAATTTTGCCAAAAATAACTACCTTTTGCTTTAAACTCAATCTTGTCCATTATTATACCATTACTACATAGCTGTAGATTATAACTTTTATAGGACAACAAAACTATGCCAAAAACTTTTGCTGCAGGTTTATTTGCTGTAGACACTGAGTTGTAAATTTGTTTGTTTGAGCTTTACTTTGGCAACACTATTTTGCATATTTTCACCATCATCTGTTCAATTCCGCAAAGTAAGCAAGTTGTCTGAAAATACCAACAGACAGGTGTTTGTGGCCATAAAACTTTATGGTTAGACAGTAAATTTGTGGTCGAAGCGAATATTTGTGAAATCGCACAAAACTGCTAAAGGAAGAGTGAAGTAATTTTGCTTGTTAACCTTTAATTTAACTTCTGTGAACGTGATTTTCATTGAAGTCTTTCGAGCGAGTGTATAAGACATAAAATTGATTTAAGCGCACAGAAGATCTATGAAATCTTAACAATAACACAGCCGTAAAAAGAAGGTATGGCCGGAGAGGACGGTTTCAACCTATTTCGGGTATATGGAATCGAACGACTACAATATATATATATATATATATTTTTTTTAATATTGCCTACAAGTGAATTTTTCTGGTATTATACCCTCTTTTATGGTGACTAAATTTTATCTGGTTGGCTTTTTCGCTGAAATTTCTTTGCAAAGTTCTTCAAACTATTTCAGGCCTTAACTTTTGTGGAGATATCAAATCCTAAAAAATAAATAAGTCTTGGACACTTTTAGGTGGAAAATGCGAGAGCAGTAGTATATTCATTACATAGGCACACAAAACAGAAATGTTGTGAACCAGAGGGTAGACCCCATTGAAAACGAATATGACCAAAAAAAAAAATACTTTCAAGTGACCATCTTCCCGCCTAGCGCCCCTTTCAACCACCCCTGTGAATTTAATTTTTCATGAAAAGTTTACATAGATGGCTGCGTGTACCTATATTTTCCTCGCCACTTAAATCGAAAATGGCTACAAAAAATTACTTAGACCGCTCCCTCACTCTCTAGAACCCCCTTAATACATCCTGAAACGGAGAGGTTGAATGTTAAATTTTCATAAAATTGTGAAATGTTTGTGTATTTCAATGTTTTTTGGGGCGCGTTAAACCGAATATGACCAGTCAAACCCCTCGAGTTGACCCCCTAATGAGCTCAAACGTCCAACTATCCATAGTCAGTTCCCCGTTAATTAGAAAACTAGGAAATTAGGAATTAACTAGGAGCGCCAGTTACTGTCGAAATTCAACCACTTTTCTAGTTTTTTTCAAGACCATTAGGGAGATTTTCTAACTTAGCACGTCTCCTGCTCTGGAACTGAAATATGTCTACAATTTTTTACATATGTAAAGGTCTTTGGAGGACTTTGGCAGTACTTGAAGTTGACCCAATGCATTCCAGTTTGTCGATAAATGCCGATAATTTGATACATATCGATAATTCAATAAATTTTAAAAACACTAAAATCCGATAACTCAACAATATTCGATAGCTTGACTAATTTCTATAAATGTCGATAACTCAAAAATGTATATACCTCGATATAAATCGACAACTCGATAAACTTTGGATAATTCTACAAATTTCGAAAGCTCTGTTAATTTTGATAGTTCGATATTTTTCGAAAGCTATCGACAAACACCATGAAATTCGATAAGCAGTGATAACTCGATAGACTTATACAACATTAAAATTTCGATAACTCGATATATTTTGGAAATTCCAAAAACTTCCAATCGATAAATCCACAAATTTCGTAAATCAATAAGTATCAATAACTCGACAAGTTGAAGAAACTCGATACATTAAGATAACTCGATAAATTTCGTTAACTCGCTAAATAATCATAGTTCAATAAATATCGATAACATGATAAATTTCATTAACTTGACAAATTTCGATAATCCGATAAATTTTTAGAGTTCGATAGCTATCCGTAAATTTTGATAATTTTCTGTGCCTATAAATTTCGACAACTCAATAAACATTGAGCCCGTGAGAGAGTATGAATATTATGCATTCACTATTCCGAATATGTTTTCTTAACTCACTGTTTGAGAATGAGTAAACTAAAAATTCTGTAAATCATTATGGCATTTAGATAAATATGTAATTAAATGCCCAAGAATATTCGTGACTTGAAAAAAATGACGTCGCCGTAATAAAATTCACCAAAATTTTGGGTAACGCAAGAAAGGCCACAACAAGGACATACGCATTGTCTAAAAATACAAATAATTTTAATAAGCATTATTTTAAGAAGTAACTGCTTTTTCTACGTACGCAACTATCCATATACATACAACTGTCTACCCAATGGTGGCAACAAAAACAAAGCCTATACACCAAAAATACTCACCAACAATTATTTGCGACAGCAATGCGTACAATTAGGCGTAAAAAAAAGAAGAAACAATGCCAACAATGCAGCTATAGGACAACAATTTAATGACAATAGCGCGTCGAGTGGAATGCTCTTGAGGCGGACAGAGGTCATTGTCGACAAGTGCAACGACACAAAGCGTACTATAATAGTGACAAGGACTTGCCATCGAGCGAAGGATGCATGAAGCAGCAGCTAAGAATGTGAAGTGCACTCAACTCAGTAACGCTCACATAAATAAGCTGATTTCAACAGGCATACATATGTATGTGTGTGCATTCATGCGGATAACTGTCTGCAGTCACTTAAGAATGTTTCCAGTTTTTTTTTTTGCTTTTTGTTTGTGCGTGTAATATACCTGTTGCCAGCCGCCAACTGACTGACTAAGCAAAGTGGTCGAAGGAGTCAGGGTGCCATGAACTGCCAGTCAGCTTGTCGCCACCAGTAGGTACCATCAAAAGGTGCAAGGGCACAGGGGTATGCTTTAAATATGTATGTACCTAAGCATTAACCGATGTGCATGCATACTTATGTATGTGCATATGTATGCATTTGAGTAGGCAAGGCGTCAGAAGTGTTGCCTCCACTGGCATGCAACAGTAGCGCGCCAGAAAACGTAAAATTTTCGCTAGTAGTGTAGTCCCTGCCACTGGCCAGTAGTCGCATGAAATCACTTACATGCATACATGAAAATCTATTTATATTACTCACCTTATGCATACATACCTATTTATGTGTCTATGTATGTGCTTTGAAAACTCATTCCTCAATTCCAAAGTAAATATTATGTCTGCGTGTCATTAATACTACTTCCTGTGCGCCAGTTTGTCGAGGCGCCTCTAGTGCATGGCGCCTTAGCGACGTCGTAATGCTATTTCAGGTGTTGACGATCGACGCCTGCCAGGACGCCTACACCGAACATCACCTCAACTAATTTGCACATGATTTTACTCTGCACCTCATAAATTTGTTGCTCTAAAGCCTTAGACGACGTCCACGTTCTATGATTTCATTTCAACTGAAATACTTGCTTGCTCTTCATAGTTATCAAAGTGCATTTGTGGCGAATGAAGTTTTTCATTTGAAAGTTGGAACGTACATACATATGTATGTTTTTGGTACAACTTCTGTTGAAAGTAGTGATTTCCTAGTGCTTCATTTTGTAACTGAGTTTGCGTTGACTTTCTAGTTATGAACAGCTTTATTAACCGACTTCCAAAAAAGGAGGAGGTTATCAGTTAGTCGGAATCTTTTTTTTTTTTTTTTTATGTATGTTACCGCATAACTTTGGACCACGTCAACCGATACTAATCTGGTTAAGATCCGATCAGTGGATCGTGAGATATATATATATATATATTTTTTTTTATATGAGAGTTGAAGTCGGTTTTCCAATTTTGTAGCTGTACATCAAACTTCACCTCTGGAATTAATAGAGAAATTTGGCAAATGGACGAGATATGTATGCTAGGGTGGTCCCTAAAAATATTGAAATCATGGGGCACCCCTTACGATTGTTTAGGGTCGCCATCTGGGTTTGAAAAAAATATTTTTTTTTATCGCGAAAATTTTACAAAATTTTGACTTGACCAGCTATAACTCAACAAGTTTATGAATTTATATGAATAAATTCCAATACGCTGAGTTATAGGTGGTGAAAGTAAATTTTTAAAAATTAAAAAAAAAATGAAATTTTTTCTAACCTTGGTTTTCGTTAATGTCTTTAATTTGAACGTAGAACAAAATAAATGGGCGGTCCATATAAAATATATATGTTGATGTTTGAAAGACCACCCTATTGTAAACACATAGGTGCGCGCGCCCGAAAAAGATCCTTTAACTCTTAAAAGATCACTAAGTCAAAGGCTTGCTTAAGAGCTTTTGGGCCCTTCCGCTTAGGAATGGTGCACTATTACCCAAACGAGCTGCGTTATTTTCCTACTCAAGACGGCCATCACACCTAGCCAATTTGTCATCCATAAAGCTTCCTGTAACCTCGCTT